ACAAAACTTACATTTTTTATGATATATTTCACAAAATATTTCGTCATAAATCACGGTGATATAACTTTTTTTCTGATATTGGTATAAAAGTGTTCCTTGAACATTCACGAACTCATATCTATGCGCAATGTCACAATCAAATGCCATATGCACGATTGCAGCAAGCAGAAGTCCATATAGGTGTGCCTGGGCGCTCAAATGCGACGTACCTCCCCAGGTGCTGAGCGAGTCTCGCGTCGGCTGCAAGACAACGAGCCATAGCAGGCGCTTAATTAATATTCGTTTGGTAGTTTCCTCATCCATGTACCTATACTATACGCTAGCTAACTCAGTTTGACCCCCTGTCACCCCCCTCATCTGGGACGGTCCCCTTATATACTCTCAAAATTATGCAGGGACTGTTATGCGGAGAATTATGTGCATTCCAATTCGCAGAAAATCACGTGCATTCCAATTCGCGAAAAATCATGTGCATTCCAATTCGCGGAAAATCATGTGCATTCCAATTCGCGAAAAATGTGCATTCCAATTCGCGGAAAATCATGTGCATTCCAATTCGCGAAAAATCATGTGCATTCCAATTCGCGGAAAATCATGTGCATTCCAATTCGCCATGTTATTGGAACCAATTTCCACGTCCGGGCAGAGAGATCGTATCATTCCCCTTTACCTCTCCGCCTCCAGCGTCCCCCACGATAACCAGGGAGATAACAGACGTGCCTGACACCTAGAGGCCGGGCGGGAAACTACTGATAACGTTCGAGAAAGCGTTGATAAGAGGTTGTGGTGGCGGCTGCTCCCCCCCCTCTGACGGGCTTCTCAGTTTCCTTTGGTCTGTGACATGGGCTGTACGTGTTACTTTTATCACTCCTTTTTCGCTGTTCCTTGGCTCATTTCTTACCAACAGGACTGTTCGTTAATGTTGAGGTAGATTGCATTTGTTTTTGTAGTTATTGAAGATTTTGCTTAGGGTGGGGATTGCGATGGTGTGGGAAAGGCGAGGTCGATAAAAGAGATAAAGTTAGCCTGAAAATTATCTAAATTACTCTAATAAGAATTTCATTATAATGATACTCTTCTCCATACCGTTGTAATTGATATATCTATTGTTATTGTTATTATTGTTATTAGTTTACGTATTGTTGTTATCGTTGTTATTGTTATTATGATTAATAAAAGTAGTAGCTGTAGTAGTAAAATTGTTGTTTATTAATAATATGATCATTGTTATCATGATCATTATATTTTATTTATTAATAATAATAGCAGTAGCTGTGACAATGGTATTAGCTGTAGCAGTAACAGCAACTTTGGTAGTAACAAAAGTAGTGTGTGTGTGTTAGCGTGTCCGCAAACACACACACACACACACACACACACACACACACACACACACACACACACACACAACACACACAACACACACACACACACGAAAAGCAGTGTCGAAGTACAGAGTCAGAGCCGTAGCAGTGCATTCAATTTTGTATACATTTTGACAGGCAGCAAGTGATCCTTCATATAAAATCCACAAATACTGAAAAATTACAACGTCTTTTGTCTTCCACATTATTAATTATATATGATAGTAATGATGATAGTAATGATGATGATGATAATAATAAAATAAATTATTATAATGGCAATTATTATTGTTGTCGTTATAACTATAAAAATAATGATAGTCGGCTTAATTAATGAAATACAATGTGAATTCACCTTTTTTGTTATGATTATTATCGTCATTGTCACTGTCAATGCCGTTGCTGTTTGTTATTATTATTATCCTTGTTATTATTCTTTATTATTATCATCATTATCATTGTTGTATTATCATTTACCATTTATAAAGGTCAACATCACCACTATATGTATAACAACTTTAGCAGTATAAATGTAACATAGCATGAATGTTGAAATCAATGAAGCAATTCATGAAAGAGTAATTTAGTTGCTTTTACGACAGTTACCCTGTAACCCATTCTAGCATGTGATGTGGCATCAAATATAAGCCTTTCAGATCTGAATTGCCATTATAATCATATAATTTCTTGTGCATGTAAATGAACCGTAGTTCCACGAGACGCTCTGTTTGTGAGACAGCTGGTTTTATTTAAGCAGCACGACATTTTGAATCGATGGATTTTCATACGCCCGACAGCGCCCATGCTCCGGCTACAAGTCTTGAAATAAGTGCAAGTATTTGACGCTGCAGATAATGCCTCATATATTTGCGTGTGTGTGTGTGTGTGTGTGTGTGTGTGTGTGTGTGTGTGTGTGTGTGTGTGTGTGTGTGTATAAACATACAGACAAGTATGTGTATGAATGTACATATATATATATATATATATATATATATATATATATATATATATATATAACATATGTACTATCCATACACATCTTGTCTGTATGTTTATACACACACACACACACACACACAAACACACACACACACACATACGCACACACACACATACACATACCACACACATACACACACACACACACGCACACACACACACGCACGCACGCACGCACGCACGCACCACGCACACACACACACACACACACACACACACACACACACACACACACACACACACACACACACACACACACACACACACCACACACACACACACAACACACACACACACACACACACACACACACACACACACACACACACACCACACACACACGCACACACACACACACACACACAACCACACACACACACACACACACACACACACACACACACCACACACACCACGCACACACCACGCCCACACACCACGCACACCATACACATAATATATGTCTATGTTTTTATATACATACATGCACACACACATCACACATAATATGTGTATATATACATATATATACACATGTATATCATACTTACTATTATACACAACACACACACACACTCAACACTGCATATATATATATTCATATATTAATACTATATACTATATATACACTACATATATCATATATCACTATGATGGTGTGTGTGTGTGTGCTGTGTGTGTGTGTGTGTGTGTGTTGTATGTGTGTGTATATTATATTACTAGAATATATACCATATATAATACTATACCTATATATCATCTAGTACTATTGTCGTGTGTGTGTGTGTGTGTGTGTGTGTGTGTGTGTGTGTGTGTGTGTGTGTGTGTGTGTACAAATATTATATATATAGTGATATATATGTGGTGTGTGTGTGTGTGTGTGTGTGTGTGTGTGTGTGTGTGTGTGTGTGTGTGTGTCATACATACATTTAATTTGTATATATATATATATATATATATTATATATAGTAAAAATATAATAATGTTAACACACACGCACACACCACACACACACACAATATAAATACAACAATACATACATACATGACATACATACACAACAATATACTTGATTATATATACTATATATATATTATACATAGATAAGATATATAAATATATATAATGTAATAAATATAATATATTATATATATACATACATTATGTGTATAAATATATATATAATATATATTAATAATATATATATAAGACTCTCTCTCTCTCCTCCCTCTCTCCCTCTCCTCCACCCCCCTCCCACTCTCCCTCCCCTCTCCCTCCCTACCCTCCCTCCCTCTCGCCCCCCTCCTCCCTCCCCCTCCCTCTCCCTCTCCCTCTCCTTCTCTACTCCCCTCCCATCGACATCCCTCCTAAACCTCATCTCTCCACTCCTCTCTCTCTCTCTCTCATAATATATATATAATAATATACTATATAATATATAATATATAATATATATATAATATATATCACTCTCTCCCATCGCTCCCACCCTCCCTCCCTCCATCCCTCTCCCTCTCTCTCTCTCATCTCATCTCTACTCCCTCCCTCTCCCCCTCATCTACCCCTCGCTCTCACTCTCTCTCATCCCTACTCATCTCTCCTCTCTCTCTCTCTCCTCCTCTCAGGGCCCTCTAACTGATCTCCGCATTCAACCTGATCAATATCCGATCCAGATAAATTCCGAGTCTACTCTCTCTCCATCTCTCCTCCCTCCCTCCCTCCTCTCTCCCTCCATCTCCTCTCTCCTCTCCTCTCATCGTCTCTCTCTCTACTCTCTGCTCTCCACTCTCACATCTCACCCACTCTTCTCTCTTTCTCCCCTCCTCCTCTCTCCTCTCTCTCGTCTACTCTCATTCATCTCATCTCTCTCTGCTCCTCTCACTCTCCATCTCTCTCTCTCCTCTCTCTCATCTCCTCTCACCTCTATATAAGAATACATATATATATAATATATATATATATAATATATTCCAACATATGTAATATATATATATATATATATATAATATATAATATATATATAATATGAATATATATATATAATATAATATATATAATATATACTTTATATAAAAACGTGTCTGTGTGTGTTTGTGTTTGCGCGTTGTACGTGTGTGTGTATGTATGTATGTATGTATGTATGTAATGTAAACACACACACACACACACACACACACACACACACACACCACACACACACACACACACACACACACATAATATAATATATATAATATATATAATATATATATGTATGTATATAATATTATATATATATATATATAACAATGTATATATATATATATATATAATAATATATATATACATATATATATATATACATACATATATATAATATAATATTATATAATATATATATATATTTATTTATTATTATATATATATGCATACGCCCATACACCAGGTATACCCTCCACAGACAAGGGAAGAGATAAACTTCCTTGACGAGATGTCAACGTTCTTGCGCTTGCAGCGTGGCGGTGGTGAGAGCGGCGGTGGATGGTGGCGTGCGGGCGTCTCCCCGGCATGGTGTGGACACGGGCGTGGCGGCGCTGGCAGCGATGGGCGTGCGTGGGCGTGGGTGTAGTGTCGGCGCCTGGCTGCTGCTGCGGCGCCATGTGGCTGCTGGCATGCCCGCCCCGAGAGGCGGCCGAGGCTCACGCCGGCGCTGAGGGCGGCGTCGCCACGTCCGAGCTGGACACGGCGCGCCTCCTGTGCACGTACCTATCGTCCGTGCCGCAAGGGCGGCAGCGGGAGGCCAAGGGCTCGCCGCAGCTGGGCGACAGCGGCCCCTACAGCGTCATGTACGACTGGATGGCCGCCACGCGCTCCTACGCCGTCAACGAGTCGGTGACGTACACGACGCACACGACGCCGGAGATGGTGCACCACGTGGCCGAGCTGGCCACCCGCTGGTCCGGGCCGCTCTCGGTCGCCGTCTTCGTGCCGCACTCGGACTTCTGCCTCGCTGCGGTTCGCATCGCGCGCCTGCGGCTCTGCGGCCCGCCGGAGGTGCGGGAGAAAGTGTCGTGGCACCTGTTCTGGCCGCGCGACGTGCCCCCCGCGGCCGACTGGCACCTCGTGGTGGACGAGACGCTTCTGGACTGCGCGGGCGCCGACGAGGCCCTGGCCGTGCGCGGGTACCGGGCGCGAGAGGTCATGGCGTACCCGGTGAACGTGGCCCGCAACGTGGCTCGGACGGCGGCGCCAACCTGGTTCGTCCTCCCCTCCGACGTGGAGCTGTACCCGTCGGCCGACCTGGCGCAGCAGTTCGTGGCGATGATGGCGCGGGTCGGGGCGGGCCAGGACAAGAAGGTGGGCGGCGCCTGCCGAGTGTTCGGTGGCCCGTGTTCGAAGTGCGGGGCGTGGTGCCCGAAAACAAGGAGGAGCTCGTGCGCCCAGTACCAGCGCAGCGACGCCGTCTACTTCCACCGGCACGTGTGCGCGCACTGCCAGAGGTTCCCTGCGATCAATGACTGGATCCGCCAGCCGGGGAAGCCGGGCATGATACAGGTAGGTCTGGCTATGATATGCTGATATGAGCAGTGCGTTTCATGATGATATATAGTTATGTATGATATCAAAGGTAGTATCTGTCAGTCTTGCAGGAAACAATTATGAATGTGGAACATTTCCAGTTTTTTAGTTTCAAGTCCGACTTGTTTGCTCATTGCCGTAGAGACATTATGTTACTTCATTATAATATATATATATATAATATATATATATATATATATATATATATATAATATATTGCCTTAGAGAGAGAGAGAGAGATTGATTTGATTTCATTTGAAAATTGTTTTTACAGAACAGTATACATGCCCTGCAAAAAGCCAGGGAAAGGTGCTCAATTATCTACCCAATCTGGCTGAACTTACATTGACTCAAGGGCCAAAGTCAAACATTGAATATACATGCTTGAAATGCTGCTCCTTTGTCCTCATCTTATTTATTAGATAACTAATAACTGAAAAAACACTTGTATATGACGATACAAACATGAACAGTTTCATAAAGTCTTACTGTTCCATTGTGGTGCGCTTAAAGTCACTGTGGGCCATCAGTTGCCATCTGATGATTTCCAAGTTCTGCTACAGGTTGTAGAGCCGTAAACCGTTGTTGTCCAAAGGCCACTGATAACATTTTTCCTGGAATTATGATTGCTGAGCAAACTGCTGTTGCATCATGAGCATCATTTGTTCTATCTTTTACATCAACATTTGCAGTAGGTCCTTTTTCTTGAAGTGTAGGGGTCGGTGCTGGCACTGAAGCGGGTGTTGAAGCCTGAAGTGTAGGTACTGAAGCATGTGTCAGATGCTGAGAGCGATGTCGATGTCGAAGTAGGTGCTGAAACTGGCACTGAAGGGGATGAAGCAGACGCCTAGGCTGGTGCTGGAGCAGGAGCTGATGCCAATAGTAAGGCTGGGGACCGAATGTTCTCGTACACCAAACCTCGCCACATTTATCCTCCCAATAAATGGGATGGGTTTTGAGAGGGCATAACAGCCTGTTGCTTCTTTAGTTGTTTTTTATCGTTCAGATAATGTGCACATATTGTAGAGCTTGCATTATGCTCAAGTCTACAATTAACACTTTTCCTAGGGAGATGACATCCCTGTGCGATTTTTTTCACTCCCTTCTCATGTCGATTTTTCAACTGGCTTGACTCATCGCTCGGGCCAGAGTTGTCCTTATCCTGTCCATTGTGTCTCCGGAGGAATTGTACGGGTAAGAATTACTTCATTCTTACACCGTACATAGATATTAATTCGACCTAGTGTTAATTCTAGGGCTCCTGTAGTGTTAAATGGGTCTATCTTCAGGACTTGAGACGCCCAATAATTTGTCTCCATTTCTTGCTATCTTTGTATCCCTCTTGATGTATGCACATAGATGGTTTAGTGTTACAAGTCCTGCAGATTCGTTACTCAACTGTCACTTTGCTTTTTTCTTTGTTGGGTTGTTTTCGGTATTCGTGTCACTTGCCGAGATGCTCATCTCCGCCAAAAGAAAGAAACCCATGCATAAACAGGTGTTCTGACGTCAGATCATTCACCGAGATGTCGCTCACAAGCAAGCCTCACCTATTTGGTGCGATCAGCACAGAGAGAGAGAGAGAGAGATTTGACTTGATTTGATAAAATTTATTTACAGAGCAGTGTACATGCCCTGTAAAGAGCCAGGGTAAGATGCTACAGCATCTATCCAGACTGGCTGTGCTTATATTTAAGTAGATGGCTGTTAATCAAACATTAGTTCTACATGGCTGAAGGGCTGTGTCATCATGCTTATATTATTTACATATCATATTCATAGAAGAGACAAATCATATCGAAGACAAG